ATACACATAATTATAAATTTATTATACACATATTTTTTCAGTTTATAACATTAATGGTGCTTCTATCAGTAGGCCTATTCTGAATTTGGTAGTGTATATATAAAAACTGTTAGAATAAGTATCTTGAAGTGACCTCCCAAATCAAGTTATATCAAATACTGTTCATTGTTGGGCTAAAGAGAGGGATGGAAAGTTGAACATTCATACCAATTAAAATGTCTCTTTTAAAGACCTTTAGCGAGTTTTAACTCAATCTTACCATTTTGGATAAAAATATCATTTACAGCTATCTTCAACCTTTTACACATTACAGACAGTCTAGACCCCTCTTTCATACAAGAATTTGAACATGAATGATCCCAGAAAATAAATATATAATTTTTCTACAACTTACACCTCTACTTTTCTCTCTATTTCTATTCAACATTTTAGTTTTTCCTTTTTTTTTTTTGGCTAATGTTATATTGGCTAGTGCATCATGTATGCAACATTGAAAATATTTTAATTTTTGTGTAGATTGTTAACTTTTCTGCTTATTTTTTATCAAAAACAAATACAACAGAATAAATATATGTGTGGTTTAGATGAAACTCTTATATCAAAAAGTTTATAGGTAGAATTGTTGCTAATACAGAGACTGGATATGTGTTTATCAGAGTACTGAACTCACAATTCTTTAATGCTCTTAATCATGATATGTTACAACTTGGACATTATGAAATTAATTTGCCTGCTAGGAAACAGATATTGACAATGTTGACTTTTCTCACAGCAACTGGCATTTAACTGTTTAGGTAATTTTAAGAATTAGAATATTTTACTGTTATAAGATGGAAGTTGAAGAACAAGTTAGGTTCAACATTACACTGATAATGGTGATGTATATAATATAAAGTTATCTTTTCACTGTGGAAAACTATTTAAATTTGTAGTAATCTGCTGGAAGCTTTGATACTGTTAGATTAAAAAATATTGCTGTAAATTATGGCTGCTTAAGAACTATTACAAATTATTCTTTTCAACCCTACCCTTTCTAGACTAGAAGAATGCACTGATACTAAGTAGTATCTAGTTTTAGCTTTAAAAAATTCATACAATCTGATATTATTTTACTTATCTTGTGATGTTATAATTCTTTTTATGTAGTGAAATTTCTATAACTTTGTTGTGAAACTTTTTTCACAAAACTAGAAATAGTTATTTTAATTTTAGAATTTAATTTACTAATGTTGATCAGAAGTTAATATCTACTTAAATGAAAATATCTTTCCACTGGGTATTTACCTCCTCTCACATAATAGCTCCTCTTATTCGGTGCTGTCCTCTTTGTGCACAAGTTTTTTTGTTCGCCACTAGCCTTGAAGTTCCCACCTACCCCCATGTTCAACCCTCAGCCATAGGGAGTGCAATACACTCTCCTGATGCAAGCTACTCCCTATATACTATTCAACCTAACCTTCACTTCTAGATTAGGCACAATAAAAGTACTGAAAGTGGGGAGGAAGGGTTGGAAGTGTGAGAGAGGTAAGTATCTTTTGGAAATATATTTTCAGTGTAGGAAAATATTAACTTGCAATATGGTATCTAAATCATCTTCACTCACATAATAATTAGAATCTCACAATGAAAAGGTAGAGGGTTTGTTTAAAGTTAAGCACAAAGCTACACAATGGGCTATCTGTGCTTTGCCTACCACGGGTATTGAAACCTGGTTTCTAGCATTGTATGTCTGCAGACATACCGCTGTGCCACTGGGGGGTGAAAAGGTGGAAGGACTGGTGCAAAAGTTACCTAGATGACACCCTTCAGAAAGCATTTGAAGAATGCTTGAGTTATGTGACCTCTCTTGAGAGAACACACACATCTGTACCTGGTATACTGTTTGCCCACTGAGGTAGTAAGTGAGGTCTAAATGAGTAGAAATTAGTTGGAGCATCTCCATTAATGTATACATGTTGTTTTGTCAAGCTCAACACCCAGAAAACAAAATCCAAGTGATGTCAGGATGGAGGGTTCTCAAGGAAATATAGTAATGATGGAAAAAAACTAAATGGGTGTGCATCACAGTGTAGAATAGCTAGGGCATGTCAGACCATACTCAGTGGGTCAACTCCAGTCCAAAACAAGATGGCATCAGGTATTTATCTTCTGGTCTGCAGTAGGAGGAGAGTCCCAACTGTCTTCATTTCAAGACTATGAGATGGAAGGGAAGATGTTCTGTCCCATCCATCTAGAAAGGGAACACATGCACAAATCTTCAACACCAATACCAGCTAGCCACCTGGAAACCAAGTATCCAAGTGATGATAGGCAGGGAAGTGCCCATGTGGTGGTTCACTCAAGAACCAAATAGACTTCTGGTTCCTAGTCCAAGCTCCATGTGCTACTAAAACTTATGAGTCATGGCCTGCAGGTGGTATGCTGGGGGATAATCCCACCAACCAGAATACCTGTTAGCCAATCTAGCTCCTTGCAATACTGAACTCCCAAGCCCTAGCTTGATGAAGGAAGTACACCAAGGGTACCCCGACCAACTAGTACATTGGGTCTGTGGTTGGAACGAGGGCTCCTGACCAACACATGCATGAGGACTTATGTTGGCTAGTCTAGCTCTGATCCAAAACCTACCAATCAGGAACCAACATGTGGGTGATGGTAGAATGAGGAGTCCCAACCCGAAAGTGTGAACTGCATTTTGGTGGATCTACACCAGTTTATGAGTTAGTGGTAGGTCATTGGTAGAACACCACCGCCCTACTCTCTACTGAATGGGATTAAGCATATTCAAGAGGAAGCCTCCAGGATCCACCACAGTAGTGGTTAGGAACTGGTAAATGGTAAGAACTCCTGTAAAATCATGTACAAAAAGGCTGAGGGTAGCCTGAAAACATCCACAGATAACACAAAGGATTGCATGGCATAGGATGGGGGAGGAAAAAGGCTCTCTAAATTGTTGTTGTCAAAACCAGATTTCTCTAGAAAAGGAGGATCATGTCCAAGTTTGGACACAAAATTCAGAATTCATGGTTTAACTGAGATAATTCACGAAAAAGCTTACTTTCACTTAAACCTAAGTTAATCTGCTACTTTGAGAAAAAAATCAAATGCAAAGTTGAAAACACAAGGAAAATGTTGTAATGTCCAAAAACAATTGTGCCTAAACAAGAAACAAGGCTGAATAGTTGTGTCAGAAGAATATGTTGCGCTCCTATTGATGGAGGGTTGCTGCATGCTTATTTGTATGAAAAGACACAGTAGAACTCCATTGAATGCGGGGTGGGTGGGAGTTTCAAGACAACAGGCTAGCAAAAAAATATGCAAATATAGAGGGCAGCACTGAACGAGATAAGCTATTATGTGGGAGAGGGTAAGATACTGTATCAGAAAGTCTAATTTTATATACCCAATAAGGCACATCGAAAATATAAATTTCTTATATCATTATTGACAGGGTTTGCGATTCGTGCCTTTTAATAGTAGTAATTATGTGGGTAAGTTTCAGGCTTCTAAAATTATATCTTGTACTGCCACTAGAGGGGGGGGGGGGTAATTTTCCTTAAAGTACCATAACTTTGGATATGCAACGTTTAGTTAATTTAGGAGTT